TTGCTCTGTCAGTGTTTCCAGGATTACACTTTCAGCCTTATATGGACTCTTTCTTGTTTTATCTTTTTGGCCTCTTTTCTAGTTTTCCAAGAATGAGGGAACTCCTAAAGTAGTAATGTAAACTTCCCAAAGTATTTTATGAGTACTTTGGGAATTTTACATTATTGGTATTAGGAATTTTTTTTTAAGTTTTATTAATGTAACTCAGTATATCCAAAACATTATTTCAGCAGGTCATCAATACGTAAAATTACTAAGAAGTTATTTACATTCTGTTTTTGTACCGAGTCTTTAAAATCTAGTGTGTATTTTACACTTTCAGCACATCTCAGTTTACACTAGCCACATTTCAAGTGCTCGTGGTAGAAATTTTTTAGTGGTAGAAATTTCTAGAAAACAGTTTTGGAATTTGTTTCAAGTTTTATAATTATTTATTTTCTTTGACCTACAATTGATCATAAGGAAATAATCTGAATTTCTGATACTTGTACAGGTAGTCCCTGAGTTACAAACATCTGCCTGACGTACAACCCATAGTTGCAAACCAACCCCTGTATGTCTTTTCTTGAGGACAAACCCAGAGACCGTTCATAGGTAGAGGCCAAGTGGCATCCCGCCTTGCCTTTGACTTGTCCCACACCAGCTGGCAGTCACTCCTCACACCTACCTGGCCCTCGATCCCACAGTGCCTGCCTAAAACAGCCTGGGAGGCGATGAGTCAATGAAGAAGGGGGAAGACCTTCAATGAGGTGGATTGACACAGTGGCTGCAACGATGGGCTCAAGCATGGCAGGGATTGTGAGGTTGGCACAGGAGTGGGCAGTGTTTCATTCTTTTGTGCATGGGGTTGCTATGAGTAGGAGCTGACTCATTGGCACCTAACAGCAACAACAACTGCAACAACAATAATGTTTTGATGTGTGTTGCCAAGTAGTACCCATTTGTTATTATAAACCATTATCTGTTGCCAGAGCGGGCTAGGCAGTGAGGACTCTGGCCCCCAGGCAGCTGGTGATAGGCCCATGCTCAGCCTTATGCCCTCCTCCTCTTCTGACAGCTGAGATCTCGCCCCTCTTGCACCCAGACTCTTCTTTCCTGCTATCCTCAGGAGCCAACAGCATGGGGCCAGGTATATGGCCAAGGTAAGGCTGGGCTAGACCCAGGGACGGCCAGGATCTGTGATGGGGTCCAGGGTCACTGCTTCAGGTTTGTGCCTACAGCTTCCTGCCAGGTCCAGGGCCCAGTAGCCCCAGACAGAGCCGGCACTGGTTCTAAGGCCATGGTGGAAGCACTGTGCTGCTGTTTGTGTTGCACACCGCTATTGCCTCCTGGGCTCAGTACAAGGTGGATGCAGAGAGTACCTGCCAGCTACTGTGGGATGAGTCGGGTGAGGCAGGATACCACTCGGCCCATTCCCATGCAGAGCCTCTGTGTTTGCACTCAAGGGGGTACATTCAGAGTTGGTTCATAACTACAGGTTGCATGTATGCCAGATGTTCATAACTGAGGGACTGCTTGTACAGTGGTTTGTAATAACAAATGGACACTACTTTGTGATAAATATCAACCATTATTATTAATGATTATTATGTTCAAGATGTTTTTGTGTATCTAGAAATGTTTAATGTTTTTTATGAATAAAAAGTACACTTGTTGTTGTTGTTGTTATGTGCCGTCGAGTCAGCCCTGACTCATAGCGACCCCTCCTTGGGTTTCCGAGGCAGTATCACTACGGAAGTAGG